CCAGCCGGCTGGTAGGCAGTCTCGTCGAGCAGGGGCGCGCGCTGGTTGCCTACCCGTACGGCGGTCTGTCTCTCCAGCTGCGCGGTAGTACAGTAGGAACCACTTATCGCCAACGCATCAGAGGCACCACCATCCGCGGCAAACGTTAAGTCGAATGGCAATCTCACGCGCGCATCATGATGCACTCAATCATAACAACAAGTCTAAAAATAGGGAAGACACACACACGCGCACACTCGACGCGTGTAGTCACTTTACGTACCTCTCGTGCGCGAACTTTGTGCCGACTGCTGCACGTGGAATCCGACACTCGCTGCACTACAGCTGCACCCACTCCTGCCGGGCTGCACTACGACCCGCCACGCTCGACGCCACACGCTTCACGGTTACCGCGGTCCTCTCGGCTCCACAACTGGACGCACACTGCATGAGCCCACACCACACACGACCGGTCCCTGTCCAGGCGTACCTGTGGGGAAGGGAGGGGGGGGGGTGTCTACCGCCTGGAGCTGCGGACTCGCGGGAGGCCTTCTGGCCTCTCGCTTTCCCTTTCCGTTGATTCCCTTCGCAGTTGATTGTAAATCTAAAGGCTTTGCGATGTGTTCTCTTGCTACTCCTTAAAATACATTAGAAGGCGAATTCGGGACACGTGCCTAAGAGAAAGACAGTGAATATACGTTTAAATTGCTATATCTCCAAATAATAGATTTACTTAGGAAGCTAAACAAAAAATGATACATGGTTCAAACAGATTTAGCTAGGCATATCGTAACTAAACCAGTGGTGCAAGAACATTAGCTTTGTTGATGCTTTTGCACGTATAAAGGGATGAGGCTACCGTCGTAGCAAGCGCTTGTTGGACTTTGGTGTCCCATTGTTTCCTCTTCTAGTACGAAGACGCGAGGCCGCAAGACGTAGCTCTGACGCCCAATTTTCGAGACAGCTGCTGTCACTCGACCTTGAACCGAGCCTGTCCCCAGACTACCGCTGCGGCGGTGGCCGGCCTAGTATAATCCCCCTTCTCATCTCTCTCTCTCTCTCCTGCTCATTCTCCTCGAACAGCAGCAGTATAGGCGGCAGGGTGCGGGTCGGCGCGGGTAGTCTGTTCTTTTGCGTCAGACATACCAAGCCACGGCCGGCCCCGTCCCGCAGCCAGGACCGTGCCGTGTCGCCACCCCTGGGCCTTAGGCACCCCCCCCTTCCCCGTCTTCTCCAGAGCTGGACCTTGGCCGACGGCCCGCGAGCACGGTCATGCGACCGCGCTCTCTGAGGCGGATACCGACCCATCCACCGGCCACCGGCTCCGGCGGGTCGCGGGGAGGGGGGCATTAACCCCACACCACCTCACATCGCCACATCGCCCGCCGGTTATACGCCTCCCAAATCCCTGCCAAATTTCATACGCTGCGGCGAATAACAGCAAACCGGCCGGCCGCGGGGAAGAAGTGGGGGGGGGGGCAGTGACCAACAACGAGCCAAACAATCTGTATTGTGCTCGGCGTGGAGCCCGCCGTCGGGGTGGATGAGGTGGCTGGAGGGGAGGGCAGACGGCGGCGCGGCGGCGCGGCA